CACCCACTCACTGCACAAACTCCCCGGCGAGGTAGTGTTTGCACCCACCCACCCACTCACTGCACAAACTCCCCGGCGAGGTAGTGTTTGCACCCACCCACCCACTCACTGCACAAACTCCCCGGCGAGGTAGTGTTTGCAACCCACCCACCCACTCACTGCACAAACTCCCCGGCGAGGTAGCGTTTGCACCACCCACCCACTCACTGCACAAACTCCCGGCGAGGTAGTGTTTGCACCCACCCACCCACTCACTGCACAAACTCCCCGGCGAGGTTGTTTTTCACCCACCCACCCACTCACTGCACAAACTCCCCGGCGAGGTAGTGTTTGCACCCACCCACCCACTCACTGCACAAAACTCCCCGGCGAGGTAGCGTTTGCACCCACCCACCCACTCACTGCACAAACTCCCCGGCGAGGTAGTGTTTGCACCCACCCACCCACTCACTGCACAAACTCCCCGGCGAGGTAGTGTTTGCACCCACCCACCCACTCACTGCACAAACTCCCCGGCGAGGTAGTGTTTGCACCCACCCACCCACTCACTGCACAAACTCCCCGGCGAGGTAGTGTTTGCACCCACCCACCCACTCACTGCACAAACTCCCCGGCCAGTTTAAATGCCTCGCTGGATGCCTGCCAGGGAGATTACTGGTATCCAGTTGTGATGTTCCTTTTCTCGCACCATGCTCTCTTATTGTTCTCATTTATTTTCCTTGCTCTGAGATACACAAAAGCGAATAGCTCTGGTATATGTTTAATGTACATAATCTGTAGTTCAATGTTCCATATTATCTGGTGATCTTCATAAAGAAAAAAAGTGTGCTATTCCCCTTGAATATAATATTTAATTCCATAACAGCCTACACTGATACAGATTGGTTGAATATAATATCAAACAAACTTCCAAGATAGAATATAGTACATGGGAACAAATAAATAGTCTGCTGATACAATACCACTCTCAAATTAAGGGTACACAATACTATTACACAATCTCGTTTTTGGATTTTAATTTAAAAAAAATGGTTAGGGAGATTTTGTCAGCAGCTGTGAGCTGCCGTTTCCTCTACACAGCGGTGCCTTGAATGGGTTCAATTAACATAATCGTTTTTGTAAATATAATAAAAATAATATTAATCATAATAATAATCTATGTAGAGCTCAGGGAACAGTCGGGAATCTAAACTAATCTGTTTCTGACTTATCCATAATCTCGAAATTCTTAAAAGGATTTATTTAAACAATTAACGACTATCTCGAATTTTAAAATGATGTGTGCGAGTTTCGATGAAAATTTCGAACACGAACACGTATGAAAACCAAGTGACTTTAAAAGATAAATACCAACTAAATATTTCACTAGAAATGCACAAACCGCTTCATAGCAGTAGTGGATACAAGCCTTACAAATGTAAGAACTCACTTCAGGAACCAAAACAAATAATTCAAATTCATCAAGGATAAGGGACTGAACACCTTTTAACAAGGCTGAGCGAGTGAACATCTTTTAACAAGGCTGAGGGACTGAACACCTTTTAATAAGGCTGAGGGACTGAAGACCTTTTAACAAGACTAAGGGACTGAACACCTTTTGACAAAGCTCAGGAGTTGAACACCTTTAGCAAGACTGAGGGACTGAACACCTCAAAATTACTTCTCAACCTCTTTCGCTGTCTCCAGTATATGTTCCTTGTACTGGACTGAAAAAAAGCCACTGGTTACAGAAACGTCTCATCAACAAAGATACCGGGTGCAGCACATGTCTCTTAATCAAGCCAAAGAATCTTTCAGGAGACTAGAGACTGAGCAGCAAGCATCAGCATGAATACCATGCCTGATCAAACATGCAGAGACGCTCTAGAAATCCCAAAGTTCTCTACCAAGCAGGTTCAAAAACTGAGGGGAATACGCTATTAGCAAACACTTACTGAACCAACTGAACATCTTTAGAAGAGCAAAGAACCACAGGATATGCGATTACGACGAACAGGATACCCAAGAGGAAGAGGAAGAGACTAAAATGAGGGGGAACGAAAATAGGTGAAGCACAGATGGAAGCTGAAAACTTAGATGGGTAACAGGTAGATTAAGAAGTACGGTATTTCTTTAGCCTAAGAATTCTAAACGCGTGAGCTAAAACAGGACGTGGTGAAATCTAACTTCGCACACAGTTTCAAGAGAAAATAAGAAAATATCCAAGGTGATTGCAAGATAAATAAAATCCTGTGCATTTTAGAATAGGAGACAGAGAAGAGCTGCGAGACTCCACCCCCGCAAATAAAACTTGGTAATACATACACAACGTACAATCTTATAAGTCAAATATCCCTCCTTGTATCACTTCAGAAACAACTAAAAATACATTCCTCTACCTTGTCCTCTATCACAGAGGACCGAAGGACGAATATTTACACCAGCAACAAACGTCCTCCGAAGTGTCTGAACCTTATCTCAATGCGCACATTTGTCTAATTTACATATAAGAAAAATACTTGTTTATTTTCTACAGTTGTGGCCACTGACAAACTGTTACACTTAGATATACATGTTTACATATATGTAATAAGATCACAGTAAACAGGTGGTATCACAATATGCAAAATAACCACTGTGGAAAAATAGTGAATTTCCAAGAGCTTTCGTGATTTCTCGCATTACCTGGAGAGAGTTCCGGGGGTCAATGCCCCCGCGGCCCGGTCTGTGACCAGGCCTCCTGGTGGATCAGAGCCTGATCAACCAGGCTGTTACTGCTGGCTGCACGCAAACCAACGTACGAGCCACAGCCGGCTGGTCAGGAACCGACTTGAGGTGCTTGTCCAGTGCCAGCTTGAAGACTGCCAGGAGTCTGTTGGTAATCCACCTTATGTATGCTGGGAGGCAGTTGAACAGTCTCGGGCCCCTGACACTTATTGTATGGTCTCTTAACGTGCTAGTGACACCCCTGCTTTTCATTGGGGGGATGTTGCATCGTCTGCCAAGTCTTTTGCTTTCGTAGTGAGTGATTTTCGTGTGCAAGTTCGGTACTAGTCCCTCTAGGATTTTCCAGGTGTATATAATCATGTCTCTCCCGCCTGCGTTCCAGGGAATACAGGTTCAGGAACCTCAAGCGCTCCCAGTAATTTAGGTGTTTTATCTCCGTTATGCGCGCCGTGAAGGTTCTCTGTACATTTTCTAGGTCAGCAATTTCACCTGCCTTGAAAGGTGCTGTTAGTGTGCAGCAATATTCCAGCCTAGATAAAACAAGTGACCTGAAGAGTGTCATCATGGGCTTGGCATCCCTAGTTTTTAAGGTTCTCATTATCCATCCTGTCATTTTTCTAGCAGATGCGATTGATACAATGTTATGGTCCTTGAAGGTGAGATCCTCCGACATGATCACTCCCAGGTCTTTGACGTTGGTGTTTCGTTCTATTTTGTGGCCAGAATTTGTTTTGTACTCTGATGAAGATTTAATTTCCTCGTGTTTACCATATCTGAGTAATTGAAATTTCTCATCGTTGAACTTCATATTGTTTTCTGCAGCCCACTGAAAGATTTGGTTGATGTCCGCCTGGAGCCTTGCAGTGTCTGCAGTGGAAGACACTGTCATGCAGATTCGGGTGTCATCTGCAAAGGAAGACACGGTGCTGTGGCTGACATCCTTGTCTGTCAGATATGAGGATGAGGAACAAGATGGGAGCGAGTACTGTGCTTTGTGGAACAGAGCTTTTCACCGTAGCTGTCTCGGACTTTACTCTGTTGACTACTACTCTCTGTGTTCTGTTAGTGAGGAAATTATGGATCCATCGACCGACTTTTCCTGTTATTCCTTTAGCACGCATTTTGTGCGCTATTACGCCATGGTCACACTTGTCGAAGGCTTTTGCAAAGTCTGTATATATTACATCTGCATTCTTTTTGTCTTCTAGTGCATCTAGGACCTTGTCGTAGTGATCCAATAGTTGAGACAGACAGGAGCGACCTGTTCTAAACCCATGTTGCCCTGGGTTGTGTAATTTATGGGTTTCTAGATGGGTGGTGATCTTGCTTCTTAGGACCCTTTCAAAGATTTTTATGATATGGGATGTTAGTGCTATCGGTCTGTAGTTCTTTGCTATTGCTTTACTGCCTCCTTTGTTGAGTGGGGCTATGTCTGTTGTTTTTAGTACCTGTGGGACGACCCCCGTGTCCATGCTCCCTCTCCATAGGATGGTAAAAGCTCGTGATAGGGGCTTCTTGCAGTTCTTGATGAACACGGAGTTCCATGAGTCTGGCCCTGGGGCAGAGTGCATGGGCATGTCATTTATCGCCTGTTCGAAATCATTTGGCGTCAGGAACTGCAAAAATACGAAGACAGCAGAAGGCTTACAAGGCTGAGATATCACCTCACATATGACTTTGAGATATCACCTCACATATGACTGGGAGATACCTCAGCCTTGTAAGCCTTCTGCTGTCTTAATGTTTTCGGTTCCTTGATAGTGTGAGAAATCACGAAAGCGATTGAAAATTCACTATTTTTCACAATAGTTATTTTGCATGTTTACATAGATACTTAGATATGCATGTATACACACATATATTTAGATATACTGTAAGTGTATACACCGATATACATGCAAACATAATGAATAATTCCTGGAAACTGAAACACGTGAGAGACCAAATTATTTCCCAGAAACTAGGTATATCGAGTAATAAATTGGGTTCACCCCCTTGTTTATAATTATGAAATGCGATGCAAATATTCGTTCTAAAATGGTGTTCTTTCCTAGTTACGAAGCTCATAACAAGACTGAGCACCGGTTTCTACACTGCCAGAGTTGCGTTCCGTCATCTGTCATTATCACTAATTAATATAGCATTTTTACGGGTCTAATAGAAAGGTACGAAAATAGCACTAGCATAATCAGCACTAAAGATGTTCTTATTTCCACTAGCACACAGGAAACAATGATTCACTGGATGGTGGTAGTGGGAGTTCCGCTCACCTTCCCTCCATCACAAAAACTGACCAGTGGGTCTTGCTGGAGGTACGAAGATTATTTTCTGACCCCCCTAGAGGCAGAGAGTTGTAATATATTCGCTGTTATCTCACACTACTAAATCGCACATGTAGCCTACTGCTCTCTTCTCGCTTGTTATATAGTCAATACTACTTATCACATAAACAAAAGAATATTATCTTATTAATATCAAAACACACGCATTTTAATAACTTGTGTCAGAGATAAGAGTCGGGCACTGATGAAATGTAACCGGCAACTCTACAAGGCCGAAAGTAATTGGAGTGCCTTCTTATTTTCTTAATTGATCCTTCTTTATCACGAATACTAGCAACATTACAAGCCAAACACCCAACTAAGAAGTAGTTATAAACTATATCTCACACTTTACTTGAAAACCGGCAAAACAAAGAATACATTTTATGATAACTAGGACACTCGTAAATCGTAAACAAAAAGTAAGAAGATACACATAAAAATTAAAAGGCTCTAAAACAGCCCACTGTTACCTTGGGTGACTGCTAAAAGCATTTCCACATTTCTTTCACTGTTATTCAGAGGGATGGCGGAAAAACAATGTGAATTTTTAAAGTATATAACATATTTGAACAGCAAATTCAAAGTCCACTCGCCTGTAAAGTACTCATTGGGAACAAAAAAAATCGTTCAAATTTGTAATTGAAATCAATTTTCTCTGGTAAAAGTCTATGGAAGTTTTGTAATATTTTAAGAGCCAATCAATTCGTTATACATACATTATAGTGTTGGATGAAGCCGCCAGTGTTTATTGTGGTCTCCTAGCAACCCCTGTCTACTGTTATTCCGCTTCGCCACCAACAATCCCGCACACTCGTCTTTACTCTCCCCAGGGACCTATAGTTAACAAGTCTTATTTTTACACCAGTTATCCTTCGAAAAAATTTCACAAACGTTGAAAACGATGTAAGAGAAAACGGGAAATAACGTTCCGGTAAGAGCAATAGTATCTAACTTGTTTTATTAATTTTCCATATTTTTTCATAAGTTCTATTTATACATGCACTTAATTATTATTTATTAATTTATGTGTCTGAAGAAATATCAAAGAATTTAGTGTGTAACTGGGCCTTATTTATATATCTGAAGTTCAGCTAGGGAGTGTAACATGTTATGTCTCCTGAGTGTCACCTTACAGTTAGTCACTCCACATGTGCAGACATTAACTCCCTGAGCTGATGCAGATCCTCAGTTGCCATCTGTATATTTCCTCCATTGATGTATATCTGTGTTTCAATAGTGATCGTTTAACTGTACTTCATGGTTAGTAAGTAGGTATAGAGTAGTCTTCACCAGGTATACCTGAAGGGGTACGTTTAAGTGTTTACCACAGAGTCGGCCTTAGGAGGTGCGGGGCCCAACTGGGAACAATTTTGGTGGGCCCCATGCATGGAAAGCAACCAAACTCTGCGCTTAAAAACCTCCCCTCAAGGAAGGTTCCTTTATGTTGGTGAGGGGCTTTTGATTTAGGGAATTGGATCTGTGCTCAAGTTCCCCGAATTAAGCCTGAATGCCTTCCACATCTCCCCCCCCCAGGCACTATAATCCTCCGGGTTTAGCGCTTCCCCTTGATTATAATAATAATAATAATAATGCGCTTAAAAAATGCATGCGAGTTAATAGACCAAACAGATGTAAGCTACATTTTAATATAAAATTGTATACATGTAAGCCTACAGGTAACAAATAAAATTTGTATATCACCTCTGAAAAGTACATAGTCACAATACCACTTGCTTTAGTGACTCTGAAATGATTTATTAAAAATATTAATTTATTATTCTTCAGAAAAAAAAATGAATTTAATTGCACTGTTTGAAACAAATTATCTTTTTTGGATTTCTAAAAATCACTTAACATTCATAAACTATAAATGAGTCATATTATTGTCTTTTATTAGGAGAAAGTTATTTTTCTTGCTTTTTTCTCTGCAAAGTCTTTTAGAATTTTGTCGAAGTTTAAACTCCTGCTAATTTCAGATTCAATGGACGTAATCGCCAAACTGTGGCCCTTTTTTCACTAAATAGTCCCTGGAACTCTTGACATCATTTCTGGCCATGTTGCAGGATCATCTATTAATTCTACAGGACTGGCAGAGTTTGAATTCCATTCTCCCTGGCCTCAGAGGCACCAACAGGTGTATCAACAGGCGAGTCTCCTTGTTTGTCAAATTCAACATTTTCGAGATGGCCAATCTCACTGTCAGTAAATAAATTCCCACTTTGATTGTGTTGCGTAACTTCAGACTCGCTTCCTTCGGTGTCATCATCTTGACTGTGTTGTGGCTCTACTTACTGTTCTGCATTTTCTGAGATAGTTTTGTTGAAATATACTTATCTTGTGCACCTTTCTCCTTTTCTGTTTCGGCCTTCTTTGCCTTAGCTGCAACCCTCTTCTTACTGCCACTTAAATATTTTCTACCGATGACTCTTGGTCTTTTACTCATATTTACAAAAACTACAGGATTCTAAAAAAAAAAAAAGATAAAAAAATAAGTGGCATCCATAGCAGAATTGATAAAAAAAAACAGCATACTGTTTTTAATGTCCGATGTCGTGTACAATCGCCACCCCATCGGGTAACTTCGCCACCGCTTTCGGGGAAATTTGCCAACATATTATATCCAAAGCCCCCCCCCCCTTTTTTTTTTACTTCGTGTTGTGTGTACTTGACAAGCCGAGAGTAGATTACACTCTAGCGAGGGGCCTCCTTAGGCGCGGGCCGAATTGGTAGCAATCGGTTTAATCGACTTATGTCCGGCCCTGGTTTGCCAGATTTTTTTTTTCTCATCCTATACAAAGGTTTAAAATTTTCAAGGTTCGTGTACTGTAACAACGAAAAGGTTCATACAACTATTGGCATGTGCAGGCGCCCTCTGGTCACTTTTATAATCATTTCTCGAGTATCATTTCCGTGCGATAACTTGAGAAAACCTCTTCTGATTGGTTTCAGACTTTGAACATTGCTTATAAGAAGACTGGGATTTTAAGTGATGTAAGTGCCAATCTGCTGATTCTATTTTTAAAATGGTACGGTATTTTTTTCTACAAAATAACCCAAGAGTATAAGTCTTCTGAATGACTGATGCATCTTGTAAAATAACATAATAACTTTTGAGTTTAAACTGTGTAGTTGTTATTTTGCCAATTTAACGACAATAAATCTAGAATTATTGGATTCTGTGCAATAGCTGGAAAATGCATTTTCTGGTCAGCATTAAATTTTTAATATTGGTATATTGTCCTTAAAGAAGCAACACGGTGATTTTGGGTTGTGTAAATTTTAATTTGCCAATTTTATTAAAATTGTTTTCCATGGAGGAACTGGAAAGAATACCTCTTCAGATAAGTTGCAAACCTTAATAAGTATAAGTACCAGTTTTATTTAAGTGGGAAAACTGAAATAGTTTTTTTTTTTTTTTTTTGCAATAATTTTTGTATGCCTAATGTGATCGACTTCTAACCTGTAATGCTTATAACATGAAAATACAACTTTCAGGTAAATACAACTTTCAAACGTAAAGTGCTGGTGCATGATGGGAAACTGGTCTCAGTGCGATAACCAGAGAATGCCTCTTCTGACAGGTGTGGAAAATTGCATTTATCTGAATGTAACTAATTATGTACATAACAGTAAACGATAACAAAGATAATTATTATTTATCAATGTTACATAGAGAAGTAGGAATTTGGGACACCTAGGTCGCAAAAATGTCCCCTTCGATACCTACAACTGTCATATTCACAAGTTGCTCTGGACCTATTAATTAAATGAAATATACATACACCAGGAATACTGGTAAATATATAAATTTGTGGACTGTATATTAAAAATAATAAATGGTTATATATATATATATATACACAATTACATAACAGATGGAAAATATATCTTAATATCACTCACCAATTTGACTGGATATTAAGTTGTATCATACTCAGAAAAACCTCACTCTAACTAAATTTATGAAAACACTGGCCAGAATTACACACAAATCTAGAGAGCTTAACTGAGGTTCCTGGAGCTGTCTTGTCCAGTCGTCTGATATCTCAAGTTATGCAGGAATGCACATCCACCAATTTCGCCTCCTATTTGAGAGGTGTCAGCATAATTTTAACCTCTAGAGCACGAAAAATTCTTCCCCCATTCACCAACGTTTCTAATACAAAATTCAAAACCAAGATGGCGAGTCTCCTCTGCGCAGGCGCAGCTTCCCATTTTCGATTACATAAATTTTAAATACATTATGGCCATCTATTTACATTTAATAACTACTGTATTTCTGGAAAATATATACAGTATTTTCCACAACAGGCTTTAAACTTTCAAAGCTAGAGTATATTACTTAGTAGAACGTTTGAATCAGTTTTGAGCTACGTATGTGACTATGTACCATTTATACTGAAGGAACTGGGATGGTTTCCATGTTATTACTTGTGACTGCTTCTTCTGATTAACTACATTTGGAACTTATGCCACACTCCGTACTATTCCTTGTGCTTGCATTTGTGTGAAACGCATGAGATAAACTATATCAGTCTTCAGAATGTCTGAAAGCCTTTAGTCTAATATGCACTCTTGTAAAATATGTGAGAATTCAGAGAAGAGATAAACTATGTAAGTCTTCAAAATATCTTTTGTGTGTGTGTGTGTGTAAAATACATTCTTTTAACATACATGATAGTTCATTCAAGAGTCGTCTGCGTGTCTCAAATATTTTAGCCAAGAAAGTCCATCTTGTATTACACACAAGTGCTCATCCAGAATATAAACAATATCAGTCTAGTGTCCTAATTATTTGAGCTAAAAACACCGTTTTATAACATACACGATAAAACATGCAGCAGATACACAATATGTTTAGCATAAAGTACAGTCTTGTAACACATGAGAGTTCACATGACGGGTGGTAAGATTTACAAGCAGTCTAGTCCCTGGAAGAATGCAAGACTAGGGCAGACATGATTACCATATAGAGGATACTAAAACAATAAGGTGGATGGGAACAAATTGTTTGCAATGTGAGGACCATGAAAGGAAATGGAAGCTAGAAATAGATGATTCACAGGGATACTGAGTGAAACATTGTCATTCTTGAAGCAGTAGCGGAGTGGAATGAACTTTGTGGATGTGAAGGTAAGCACTATACGCAGTTTTAAGAGCAAGGCTAAGACCAGGAACCAGTAATACAACGATGAAGTTCAAGAGGTGTGGCCAGGAGCCATTGCTCAAATCCCGCAGATACAAGTTGGTGTTGAGTACATGTCAGAGTACATGCGTACACGCACTCTCTCTCTCTCTCTCAATATATAACTTAAACAAGCACACCAGTTTGTTTTGAAAAATAGGTGACATACCAGAAACACGTCGCATATTAATACAAACAGTTTAAACACCCACATTAAAATACCATGTGTTCCCTACACACAGTTATTCAATTGTTCAACCCCTGGGTGTTTCCCCGACACTAGAGTCTACTTCCTGAGTCCGTAACATGGCGGATGCTGATCAGAAAAGGTACAATTGACGGGGAATTTCGCTGCCCAAGAGCTGCCATTTTCCAGGCATTGTGACTTTTACAGGTTTAGCGTTTCCCGTGAAGCTAATAATAATTATGATGGTGAGAGCTGCTGTGACGACTACATTGACTGAAAGTCATCATTACTGCTTATCATGTTATGTTAGTGTTTCTGCATTGATATTGCACAATAACCTCTGTGTTGTCTCTGCTGTTGACCTGCCAGCGTGAGTGATGACCTCTTGACCCGCTCGGATGAGTGATGACTTTATCCTCCACTTTAGATATCTACTGGTTTGGTTACGGGTAAGGAATAGGTTATGTTATAGTCAGATTAGGTTTTTACTAGTCTGCATTAAATTATTGGGTAAGATTAGATTAGTTAATGAGGT